GACAGCAAAATGAAAAAAAAAAAAATGTGGAAGAGAAATTAAGAATCCTACTTAGATACTCATAGGCCAGTATCATTGTAGTTCCCCAAGCTGACATGCTGAAAAATCTTGGGCCTAGACCTCTATATCAACCAGCCCATCCATCCTCCGCCATCAACATTTTAACTACTTGTCGTGCAGTGGGTCTCTTTTCATTCCCTATCACCTGCAAGACACCCAAAAAAATTGAAACAAAATCAGAAGCCTTGCGAAAACGATCTTAATGTGCAACTCAACCATGCCATATCTAAAACTCTAATAAAAAGATTCAGTGAAGCAATGAAAATTGCGAAATGTGTTAACTATGAGAATTTTTGAACTATTGTTCTTCATACCGAAAGAATATTAACATTAAAGCAGAAAAATATTTTTTTTTTCTGTTCGTGATGATGTGAACATTGTTTTCAGCTGGAACTGCAACTCCAAGATCAGAGCTATTGCATGAGTACTAGGACTAGACCAACTCCCCTTGGTTAAGAAGCACCGACACGGACGCAATTTTTCAAACAAGTATCAACACAAATGTCATCGACACGTTGATTAGTTTTTTTTTTTTTTTCCTTTTAAGTTTTTTATGTCAAAGAGAAAAATCAAAGGGTTTGAGCAAGAAGAGTTTTCCCTAGAAATGGAGCCTAAAGCATTCTGTAAATGAAATGGGTTTGCTTCTTGTGTAAGTTTGCATTTCATCAAATCATGGGAAAAATAATAATTTAGCTGGTTAAAAAGTTATTCACTATTTAAAATTAGTAAATATTTGACTTAACTTGCAATTCTTCTATCACTAAATAAAATGTAAACCCACTTTATGAAAACTTGACCCACCTTAAAAAAAAAACAAGGGAATAATACATAAATAAGGTATTTAAGTATCACCATTTCAAAATTAAGGTTTGAAGTTTTAAATTTCAAAAATCAGATTTTCATTAAATTTTATTTATAATTTAATTAATTAATTAAATATATTAAGGTCACAAATCTATGCCA